AAAAAAAAAAAAAAGCACAAACCCACACCTTAATTTATAAGTTTAATGTGTAGAGTATTTTATAAAGATTTTTTTCTTTAAAAAAAAAAAGGTAAAAAACGTAACTGATGCACATTTCTTTTTCTTTTGAATGTCCTTATTTTTACTGAAAAAAAAAATAAATTTAGACAGAGCTCAATTACAAATACTTCTAAAAACCCCACGTTTATCTTCAGAAAGTATTGTAAGACTAATCTTTTTTCCTCCTGATGGAGAAGATTTGAAAAGAAAATACACCAACAAGTGTTATTGTTTAAAGCCCGAGACATATGCTTTCTAAGAGATCATTGAAATTGGAAAGTACGTATGCTGGCTAAATATGGGGGAAATAAAATTAAAAGTTTGATCTATAATTCTCTTTCTTTTTTTGTTAACATTGCAGTCCAGGAGCTGCATTTGTTTCTGCCAAGTGCAGATAGGACCCAGTAATTTCAAAGCAGAAAACGTCCATTTTGTCACTCCAGTGAAATACAGGAAAAGAAGTTGTTTTAGGCGATGAGAAAACTTGGAAGAATAAGTGGCTCCCCCTGCTGCTAACTGTTGGAGAGTGAGTGCAGCTCAGTAAATAATGAAAGCTATTATTTGCCAAATATCAGTTTGTACATAATAGCAATTTGAAAAATCTTCAGATAATTTTTTTTTTAACTTTATTACATCGTCTATTTTAGGTATTTGGAAACAAATGTGGCATTGGTTTGGAACGTGTTAGAAGATAGCAGAAAAATGTGCCTTGACTGTAGCAAGACACACCAAAAGGCTCCATAAAGATCCACTAAGAGGCTGGTATCTTGAGAGCAACTTTGTGTCTGATGGAGAATCTTACAGAGTGTGAAACAAGCTGAATTCAGGTGCCAGACCTATTATGCCACAATGCTGATACTCGTTTATATCGAAGATTCTGTTGATTTCTTTCAGCATAAGGCTTTAAAATCATGCTCTTTTCTAAGTAGGAACAGCCACTGCTTTTCATGTTACAACTTCTGGTAGAGCTTAGCAAAAGCAAAAGAGAAAAAAAAAAAAAAAGCCCCATGATTTTTAGCCTGTGTAGTGCCTGTTTTACATTGAAAAAGAAGGGGGAATACTTAGAATGCTGTAGCAAGCAAGAGAGACCAAGAGCTAAATTTTAACTTTCATTTTTTTTTAACTAAAAGAAGACAAAGGTTATTAATCATCAGGAAGTACAGGAGAGCTGTTAGGTTTCAGTGAACTTACTGGTAGATCTCATGTGTGTACATCTCAATAATGAGTTTCACTGTGAACACCACAGTCAAAAGAGAATTTGGATTAAATAACCAGGTTATTTAGGAAGCTTAGTGTTGCTTAGTGTATTACTAGTATGTTCATAACTCGATGCTCCAGGCAACCAAAAGGCAGTCCCTGCTTAAACCTCAAGTCATCTATGGTTTAACTACACCACAGGGACACATAGAGCATGAGTGAAAAATAGTACAGAAGTACTTTTACGTGTGTGATCCTCTTGATATTTTTGGCAAGAGAAGGGTATGTGCTGTAACTCGAAGTTGATGTTTATTCTGTAAACTTGTTCAATGTGCAATGCCTCTTGTTCAGCTTCTTCCCTTACTGGTTTTGTTCCGATGTCAAAAATTTTGTTAGGCAGTCCAACTCTTTGAAAGTCTACAATATAGAAGGCGTAACCGTGTGCATAAATACATTTTTTTTTTCTCAAATAAACTCACATATTATTACCAGAGATACATTTGAGTTAGCAAACTAAAACTACACCACATTAAGCTGGGACTTGGAATTTCAGGTCCCTGTTGTTGCTCTTCAGTGAATCTCTGGCATGGAAGCTTCTATTCAAGTTCGAATCCTACAAAAGGGAATCATGCAGGCAGACCCCTAAATTCCTGCTCCCCAGCATCCTAAATCATCCCATTTCATTCTGCCTGAACGATCAGGAATGAGCGGAGGGTAGAAGGTTGTCGTTTGTTCTGCTATGAGAAATAAAGGATGCATTAGACACATTTGAATCAAGGTTAGCCTTCAGCTTTTAAGGCCAGAAAGCTGAAGTGGTTCAGAGCTCTTGAACAGATTTTGTCAGCAAAGAAGAATGTTAAGGACTCCTGCTTGCTGACAGATATTTGTGGAGCTCCTGGAGTATTTCACAAGCGTTCTTTATTTTGAAAGCTTGCATACATAAAATAGGTCTTGCTTTTATAGTAAAATTAATGTAACAAAGATCACTTAGAACTCAAAGAATCAGAGCCAAGGCCTGTGTGAAGGAAGTTTGGGAGGAGACTTAGGATACCAACATACCTCATACTGGAGTGTGAGAGTGCACGTGGTAGTGTGGTGATCCAGCTGGGCTCAGGGCAGAAGGAGCAAAAGTTTGCATGTATTTTGAAAAGGGATGCAGTCATTTTTTGATCACAAATACTGTTTACACAACTTGTGAGGAAAAGGAGAAAGGAGAATTAGTTTTGGTACCTTGTTTCCTTACCCGCCCCCTCACCCTCTTTGGCAAATATGGCCAGTAATCCCATATTTCTCATAGAAAACTGTATTTATTTATGTCTTGTTAGTACAGTGGGGCTGTGATGTGGTTGGAATGAATTTGAAGGGATGAATTTGTGGCATTTCTAGGGGAAAAAGTGGGGTTTGCGTGTGATAAAAGGAACACATTTTTGTGTGGTTGGCTGGTTTGGCTTTTTTTTTGACTCTGTATGAATGAATAGTGTGTGTTTACTTAATTCCCAAAAGGCAGTTTCTCATATCAGAGGTGCTTAATGTCACATATATTTTTGTTCTTAATTATTTGGTAGATTATGTGAGGAGGTCTTTGTTTCTTTGGCTTATTCATTATTAATTGTACAAGTGTAATCATCTTTGTGATCTCTTCCTGTTAAAGTTAGCAAATGATGGGTTAGCAGTTGCTGACCTAGTTGTAGAAAATAAATTTACTGGTGTCATAGGGAGTGACTAGTGTTGATTAGGGAATACATTATGATGAAAATTTCTGTCAGCACCATCAGCTGACAACAAAAATGTGGCTGAAATCAGTAAAATAGGAAATGACACAGAAATATACAGGCAGAAAGGAAAAATGGTGTAGTAGGTGATACATGAACAATGACCTAAGTAAATGAGTTTGGTGTCTTAGGAAAATTGTTATTTGCAATAAATTTTTAGTGTACAAATTTTCATTAGTTCAACAAAATGAGAAAGCTAGGAATATAGTTGTGCAAGTGGAGATCCTCACTCCTCACCAGCAACTCGGCAGGACAGGAGGAATGTAAATAACTCAGCCAGTTCTAAATTTGTTTAAAGAACTGCTGGTGACAGCCAGGGGAGCCCATTGTGAGCTATACGCTCCCAGCTTTTTTAATAGGTACTGCTGCTTATTGGGAAACTTGGAAGCTGCTCCAGTTCAGACAGCTCCAGAGACTTGCCTGGGTTATGTCAGAGACACTGCTGCCTGGAGAACTGCCTGAAGTCAGAAGGCTCAAAGTGCTGGTGTGCTTTCTCCTAAGCTGGGAATTCCTTTTCAGCACCAAGGGAAGCATTCCTTCAGTTGGGTTTCTGACACTTATCTTCCATGAAGCAGGCTGAGTAAAGCCTGTTGAGCTTATAGTATAAAGCACCATATGATATCAAGCAGCAGTTGCAAAACTGTCTTTCGATCCATAATATCAGATAATACTGCAGATAAGTATTAATCATATAGTTCATAGGTCACATTTCTCATAAGGGGAAATCTTTTAAACTACTGAGAAGGCATCCTAGCAGTATCTGGAAATGCAGGAAAGTTATAGCGAAATCACAGTTGCAATACAGGTGCATAATTTTAAATTCCTTCTGGACTTTTCTTAGTATGACCAAATATTTCAGAATCTCTTTAGGCACAGTCTTTGTGTTTAAAAAGTAGACCTAATTTTTACCCATACTATAAAGTATCCATCGTACTTATCTGTATCTCACCAATATTAGAAACTGTTTATTTTCAGCCAAAACCAGAAGAAGCGTTTTCCTTTATTCTAGTTTGAAAGATGTTTCCTGGAATATAATTGCACATTGAAGTAAACAGTTCAGTCGCTAGCCTTCTAACCAGACAGCTAAAAAATACTGGGAGTGATTTAACACTGGGAAAGATGATATAAAATCTTTATTGTCAAATAACGCTGGATACCTCATCTCTCCCACAGTCCTAGAACTGTTGAAATTTACATCAAAACAGTGCATAACTTTTATTTATTAGGTCACACCTATGTGTGTGTCAAAATATAAATAATGTGCAGGATATTCACCTGAAGTTATACATCCGCTTTTATGTAAACAGATCGCATTTACTGCTTGGCCACATAATACCAAATCTTCCTAGAAGTCCTGGGTCAAATGACTTTCCCGTTGTGTTACAGTCCTCCAGCTCTCTGAAGGCGTCTTACGAGGACTGGCTGCTGACCTACGGCCTGAGCGTCTCTCCGTTCCACATGCGATGGCAGACGGCTCTCTTCAACCGACAGTTCTACAGCTGGGGGAGGTGGAAACCCAGATTTCTCTATTTATGGTATAAACTCTGGACTTCCGTTCTTCTGTCAAATACAGAGTTAACAACTTAACCTTTCAGCCTTTAAAGTGCAGTGGACAGACATGGTTATTTCACTAGGCTAATGATAAAACCACAGTAGCGTGGTTGCTGTCACGTGCTACTGTCTTTCTTCTCTGCTAAAAAATACGTAGCAGCAATGTAGTTTACATATTGAGATACTATAAAACTAGAAACCTGTAAACTATTTTTTCCTATGGTTTGAACTGTATGTAGTTCTTAAGAGTAGAGCTATTATGTGTGATACTGCATACAGAAGTAGGTCTGAAAGCACCTGCTCATACCCTAGATATGTCTATCAGTGTACACTGAGCACTCCCCTGATCGCTAGTTTACAAAGTATTGAAAGGCAGTTGTGTCCCTGTTGTCAGGCATTGCCCAGACATTCAGCAACCATACCTGCTTAGAAGCACATTGCTCACCTTCTGTCTTTTATCTGCCTGCACATTTCCCTGCTAAGACTGCACAGGCTGCTAGGAATGGGTGAGTGAGCAGAGTGGGTAGCATGGGTGCTCCTGGGCTGATGTATAAAACTATTGCTCAGTTGCCTTCCTAGCATTACTTTATATTTGCTCTGAAAATATAAAATTAGTAAGTTTTGAATTTCTTTTCATTTCCTGTATTGCTACCCTCAGTGAAATAGTAATAAAAGAGAGGTCTGCTTCGTACTGGTTTTGTAAGGATTTTGCTAGTTCAGTCTGAAATAGTTCTGTATCAATCACAATTTTAAAATGTGAACTATTTATTAAAGTATAATTTTTCAAACAGTCTCTTTAGTTAACAGTACAAGGACATGTTGCTTAAAATTAGTCTGCTAATTCCCGATGAGCCTCATTAAGGCTGGTAAGAGAACAGTTTTGCTTTATCTAATGTTTTATCTAGAAAGTAAGCTTTATCATGTCCTTCAGCTATTGGACAGTGTAAAATAAAAATAATAATGATGAATAAAAATCCACCACTAGGTGGACTGACATAAGCTGAAAATATTTTCAACAGAAAACATGAAAAATTAATTGATGAACAATGTGTTTTAAATAATTGCTTCTGATCTGTTTTTGCAGTTGTACCTTTTAGTTGTTGTTCTTTTAAAAAGTTTGAGTCTCATCTATTGTCCTTTAGCACTTCTTACCGTTTGGAAGGCAGGTGTAAAATTTATTGAAAAAGCTTGTATAAATAAATAGATATGCTACCCTGTAATTTGATTCAGGTGTCTATGTGATGGTATGGTGCAACATGGTAAATTATACAGTTTTAGTTATATTTTTATATTCATAGCTAATGGCAAGTTACATGTAGTGGGTAAATGAATAAAATTTAGAATGTGTAAGAACAACATAAAAATATTTGAAAATCAGGATGTCATTAGGATATAAAACATTTATTAACTAAGGAAAATAATATATGATATTAGTATATATTATTAAATTTGTTAGTTTCCTTTAGCTAATATTTTTGTACTGGATTGTTGATCCATGGATGTTATTAGCACCTGATAAGTTTTGCTCTATGAGTTTGATGTGCTGTGGTAAAGCAGTTAGTTATCTGGGAAGTATGCTCTGTATCTTCTTGCAGCTATGCACTGCTAAGCTATTTGCTTCTCTTTGTAGGTTCAACGTAGGAATGGTGTTTGGTATAGTTGCCATGTTTAGCTCTGTTATTCTTCTTGGAAAGACGTTGATGCAAACTCTGACACAGATGCTCACTGAGGCACCGAAAGCCCAGAACGATCGTATGCTGCAAGTTGTGGTGAGTGTTCTCTCCACAGGTCTTTATCTGAGGGTTATGAACTGATCTTAACCAGCTTCTTAATGATTTGGTGTGTAATGCTGTACACATGTGCACATGTGATTGGGTGTGTAATCCTCCCATGCAAGAATAACCTAACTCCTGATATTCCTCTACATAAACATTTTCTGGTTTGTTAGCAACTTAAAAATAGGAAGTGGAGGTACTAAAAGAGGGGAATACAAATGAAGGCAAAAATATGGAAGAGTTTCTATTAAAAATTCTCAGGATTGAGAATTTGCTAGTAGTTTTTAAAAGCCTTAAATCATCATAGTACTAAGAATACAAAGCAGAGCTAAGAATTTGCTGCCTTTAAGCTGCACAATGTAGAGGCACTGGTGGCCTTAAAATTTTCAGAGTGCATCCCTAATCCACAAGCAGAGAGGAGTTCAATTTAATTTATTACAATACAAAACATCAGTGGAAAAGAACTGTAATGAGCTTTGTGTGATAGCAGAAGCAAAGATTAATTAGTGAGGAGATGGCATATTTTTTGATTGTACAAGGAGTTAACCCCTGATTTACAGTGTGAAATTGAAAGTGCTGCTTCTGTGGTATCTAATCAAAAGCTAATAACAATGTATTTAATTGTTTTATGGTGATGCTGGGCAATATATTGGGTGTTTTTAGAAAATAATGTATTTCACAGAATGGGAGAGATTGCGAATCTCTTTTGTTTATCTCTATGCAAGGCAGTAATCAATAACTGACACTGCCTTACAACAGTTTTAACTGGGAAGGATCCCTAGCCACCTTTATTTCCCCAGGAGTGCTATCTGGCCAGACTATCTGGTCATTTTTCAGAAATGCAGAAGGTCCTATAAGATTGCTCTGCCTTCTGCTGCATGGATTAGAGCAAGGATGCCCAACTATTCTACTCTTTTTAAGTTCTCAGCTAATGTAGTGAACAGAAGTGTGCTACTATGATAGGCTTTCCCATAAGTGCTAAACTGACTGTGTGTGGCTATACTTAAAAATTCCATCAGTACAGGAAGCCTGATCATTGGCATGTGCTGTAAATGCAGTGCCTATTTCACACACATGGGGTGAATACAGCAAATGTAGTATGTGTTGGCAAAAGCTGGCAGTGGGACTTGGGAAAGAACTGCTGGTACTGTCACTGAATTCATCCCACCCGCAGCTTGCTCCTGAATTATATCCAGAAGCAGACAAGAGTGGGCAGTCTGTGCATCCAGCAGAGCACAAGTTGAAGATGAGACAGACCATTTTTCATTTGCATGCCAGCAGGGTCTATCCTAAGCATATATTCTACTACATTCTGAAATAAGAAAAGCCTCCCAAGATCCTTATTTTCTGAGATCGTTATATGGATCTATCCACTTTTCTGACACCAAAGTAAAGTGGTCATTTGAGATACATTGCTTTCTGTGGAGAAAATAACATAGAGCCAACCAAAGTGAAGATGAACCTTTGGAGTTAATCTGGTGTGAATTGGAATGGTCAAAGCAGAAATTTAGGATAATGTTCACAATTTCAATGTGGAATTGATTCTTCAGTGGTGACCCACTGGCAATATAACTGAATTCAGACCAAGGACTGACTGGCACTGAAAAAGACGTAATGTGTAGGGATAATGTCATATATGGGGATGTAAATTCTAAGTTGACTTGTGGTTCCCTTTATTTCCCACCTCTTTCTTTCATTTCTGAATGGTGATAGTTGTATAATTTACCCTTTGAAGTGTTCTTTTTGAGGAGAATGTGCTAGCATGAGTTGACACAAAAAAGTGACCCATGTGTAATGTGAACAGGTGAAGAAAAAGTAAGCAAGACCTTTGCCTCATTTAAATTAGTTGTTTGTATTTGACTGCCTGGAGGAGAGTGAGTGAGTTTAAGAAAAAACAAACCACACAATACTTTTTTTTTTTTTAAAACTCAGCTTTAGCTTGTAGCATAAATCTGTTTAGCCTTTAGCCTTTGGCTACGAAGAGAGAGAGATACATTTCTGCTTATGTTTTATTGATTAAGATTTCTGTATCCTTCCTGTTTTGTTCAGTCATGTATTTTTTTAAAATACCTGTCTGGAGGTAACTGGGCTGTTTTTCTGCAGCTGCCACCTCTTGTATTGGTTGAAAAAAGTCACCAAAGCATCAAGGTATTTATTAACAAAAACCTGCTATTGATGAGAGTTAGTTTCCCTTTTAGGTGAATCTTAAACTAGCTTCTTTGACGGGAAGTCTGAAAGCATCTGGTGCTGTATTCTAATAGGCTACAGTCATGATGGTATTAAGATGGCAGCTCTTGCTGTTGCTGTCTGTCCTCCCCTGTGCCCGGCCCAAAGGGGCCCTGGCAATACGAGTTGAGTAATGCAGTAGAGCCACCCGCAGGGGATGATGCTACCTTCACACAGTGAGGTATGATAGTTATGCCAGTTAACATAAATATCTTGGTCATGATCACACTGTGGACAGAATTTATCAAATTACTCAGTTTAACATTAATGAAAACAGTATTTTGAAGGATTTCTTTCAGCTAGCTTGTCTTACCACCCTGTTGTGAAGTTCTGTTGCATGAAGCAATGAAGGACTCGGGGAGTGGCAGGAATCCACAGCAACAGGAGGAATGTGAGGGACATGCATATTATGTCTTACATAAATGAAAATAGTATACACATTTAAAGTGCTTTGTTTTTAAGGTTAAATTGCCATATGTAGACTGCCAAACCTTGAACAATAGACAAAAGTTACACTTTTTGACCTTGTAAATTTGCGATGGTGTTGCGTTTTGCATAGAGAGAGAAGGGAGACTGACAGTTCCAGTTGTAGGCTCATTTTTTGAACTTTTGTGGCTCATAATGTTTTAAATGCCATACAATTTCATTTTTTTTATTCTGAAAGATGGACCTTCTCTTTAGCTACATGACTGGCTGCAGAAAATTGTAAACTAAAGCTCACAGTTGCCAGGCCTGTTTCATTTGAGTGGAAGACTGTGTATGTTTTTATAAACTTGAGCTTAATATAGAGTAGGACACATTCAGTCAGGACTGTGGGGAACAAGTAGGGCAGGGAGAAGGCTTTTGCGCCTGGAATGCTTTTCAACCTTCAATAAAATAATGTACATTTAATATATTTTAAAGTACATTGAATAAATTAGTATTAGTATTGAATGGTTATTACCATTTAATAAATACATTTATAAAACTTAGTGCTGCACGAGAATGACCCCTGATCTGTTTTGGGTCTGAAGAGGCTGAGTGAGAGCAGCAAATTTAGGGGCAGAATGATTTGTCTTTGTACCTCTTGGTTTCCTCCTGTGTTTTGTTTTGTTGTCATGCCCACATCAACAGGTGCCTGGTGTAAATTTGCCTGTCAGCCAACTGACCTATTTCTTCTCTGCAATCCTCATCAGTGGTGTGATACATGAAGTCGGCCATGGGGTGGCAGCTATTCGGTAATAAAAATTTCTTTCCTTTTACTGTGTGCCAAAAAAGCCTAATATTCCAGAGCATTTACTTACAGGTGAATGCTGTTAACTCTGCTTCGGTTTATCTGAAGAATCTGTTTATTCTTTATTTTGCAGCTTCCTTAGACTTTAAGTTTGGAAGTCTGTACAATTAAGGATAGAGTTTTAATATAGCGTCTGTTCTACCAAGCATGAAGGACTTCTGCTTTTCAGATATACTACACTGCATCAGATTTAAAATAATGCTTTTTTAAAGTGGTCCAGTCTTTCACACAACAGTTGTATTTCTGCAGCTGTGCCACTTGAAGAGGACCCATACACTACCGCACAATGGTACTTTAAAATAGATTTTAAATTGATTGGTTTAAACATAGATTGTGAAGTAGCATACCAACAGGCTGAAGCAGTAACTCTATCAAATGTGATTTGCCCCTGCTAATCTCAGTGATGTGTTAATTTTGGTCAAAGATGATACTTTTCATGCCACTCAACTATGATAGTTACTTCACAAAAATGTTATTTGACATGGGTAGGCCTTCCTGTTAAATGACACCCTCGCATAAGAGGGCTAGATGGTGGTTACTGGGACTGATACTCAGTCCTCCACACACACTCAGGTGTCCTCTGCATTTCTCCTGGATGTCATCATTATCTGTCCCATGAACATTAAGCCTGAAGTTGTTTCTCTGCCTTTCTTGAGTGTAAGGAGTCATAACTGCACCTTAACCCATTACTAACTTTTTTACAACTCAAAAGTTCTCAATTAAAGGGGTGGTTTGGGATATTCTAGTTTCATATGCTCTGTTTGTCTTTCATCTTTTTTAACCCTAATATTAATGGGGATTGTTCTGTGGGGGATGAAACTTTTGCCCTTGCTCATGCCACCACAGGAAGAAGGAACAAAATTTCCTTAAAGTGCCTTCATATGCTGCTGGCTAACTGCAGAGAAGCCAGGAGTAACTACAGAGCTCTTTTTAACCAGAATGGTTAATTCTATTTTATTCTATTCTAATTTAATAATAATTGGAATGTAATTGTGTTGGAAAATTATTGTCATGCCTCTTAAATCCCTTACAAAATTTCTAGCTTCATATAGCCTTTATGTAATTATTCCAAGTAGTGCCATTTAAAAGGAATTACAAAACCTCTGAAAAATAATATATTATCTCTGTGACAGTGTCAGCTATATTTAAATAACAGTTGTCCTTTTAATCTCGTGACTTATGATTTTTTCTGACGATGTTTCCTTCATTTTTCTTAGTTTAATATTTACTTTAAATTTCATTTAGGAGAAGCATAGAAATTATACATTCCATAAATCTCTGTTTCTTTAAAAGGAAAGTGGTAATTTTTCATTAATTAGTTTGAAACTCCATCCAACAGGCTGCCATTTTTTAACTTAAAAAAAACCCTGCAGACGTTAAAATATATGTTGACTTGAAAGCAGGGTTTCTATTAAAAAAAAATAAAAAGTAGTTTTATGTGTCACAAGGAGACAGAAAAGAAGTTGAACTTATCCTTTATTTTTTACCAGGGTCACAAATGTGTGCTGCTTAAAAGTGGTGACTACTGCAGGAAACAGCCTTTAATTATCTTTGACTTAAAAGTTAGTTCTGTAATTACAATTTTAATTATTCTCATTGTCAAAAATGTGTGCTGTGTAGAATCTCTCAGTTTTTCATTTGTTTACAGTAATACAACTTTTCATCTTTTTAAGAGAACAAGTACGATTTAATGGATTTGGGATTTTTATCTTCATTGTCTATCCTGGAGCATTTGTTGACCTCTCTACAACCCACTTGCAACTGATATCTCCAGTCCAGCAATTAAGGATATTTTGTGCAGGTAATAGTTTGTGCTTTTTAATTAAATTTTTGTTTAGCACAGTTATGTATTCTACAGGCATCATTTGTGAATCCTTGATGGAGGACTGAAGGTTTAAAATAAAGACGTACAAAAGCTTCTCTTTACCTAAAGGTGATCCTTCTGTTCTGAACTTAAATAGTGATTTCAGAAAAATCATTTGACTATTACTGTCCATATTGTGTTCCATTCTCTGGAGGAGAAGCATCAGTTTCTGGGAGCTTACATGAGTACCAGTTTCCTGTCATGAAAAATATTAATATAGCCTAGATCTGATTCAGAATAGTTGTGCATAAGAAATCCAAATTGTGTGGTTGGGCTAAAACTGTGGTTTCTGGTCTTCTTCTCTCATTAATAAAAACTCTTACACTGGCTCAGGTGCAGAACTTCCTTTGTTGTCTTTTTTTTTTTTTTTTGGCATATTGTATGGCCTAAGTAGCAAAGCTTTGGAGTACACAAGCTGGAAAATACTCAGCAAAAGACTGGTGAAGTGAGAACATGACTTGCTGTCACAGGTGAACACCTTGAGCAGTTCACTACCATTTTCTGCAATAGGAACAATCTATCACATGATTTTTCAATAGTCTTGTGAGTAATTTTCAGTGACGTGTGAGTTATTATACAGGTCACTGTGTTTTGATGTTGCCATCAGAAGGAAATAAAGGCTGAAACACAAACTTCAAAAGAGAATCACAGCTTATGGCTCCAAATAACCTCAAAATGTTTTTGATTTGATGCTTGTTGAAGTCTCTAGCTGTGGGGAAGTAGAGCCCTGTTGCTGTGGAAAGTTAGACCGAGAGTGTTATGCTACCGGAACCACTTGTATTACTGATTTCTACAGACAAAGGTGGTTCCCAAACTACTGAAATAAAGATAGAAAAGTTAGTATCTTGGTTTAGTTCTTGATACCGATTATTTTCTATTTCAGGGGATGGTAGAATGGCAGCCAGCCTATTGTAGCATTTAGATACTGACACTGTTTCATAAATACTTTAACTAAAACACTATATAGAGAGTTTTAGGCTGGGCATTCAGAAGCCTTTATCAAAGCATATTTTCAAGCTTTTGTAAATCAAATCATTTTTGCTAAATGTTAGGTAAATAAATACAACTATATTCGAAACCTAATGAACCAAAATAATTCACTTCAATGGACTAACTTTTATGAAGCCCTGTTTCTCAAATTAATCCATTTCTAGTTACTGTGAAGAGAACTGAAAAAGAAGACATACTGATATTCAAAATGGGTTGCTTACATACATTCCTGAGAAATCATCTAGAAAAATAAGATTCTAATCTGTAATAGAAAATAATGGTTTGCCTGTTTTTGGTGGCAGGCAAACGTCACTTTTCAGGCTTCTTGGGAAACCTGAATAGGGGAATACAAGGTAGGAACAAGCATGTTGCAAGACTGGTTAGCATCAATGGTTTGTTATCAGTTAGGTATAATAAATACAAGCATTTTTGACAGTTAATGATAGGTATGTTTCTGAACTAAGATGCTTCGTAATGATAAAATGTGATATTCTGTAAACTTAGTTTTTCTTAATTATCAGAGCAGTTGAATGATCCTGTTCTCGGTGCTCTGAAGATCTGAGTTTACAAAGGCATGCTTTCAGCTTTTTTGTGTGGCAGCTAAGTAAAAGAGCTAGAGAAAGATACCTAACATTCCTTTTGCAGCCCATCTACGCTCTGGAGATTGAAGAGTACGTTTGTTGTACAGCAGATGGCATCATGAGTTCAAGAATAGCGAATGAGGGTTCCTATGAAACCTGGGATATCTTTTAGAATTAATTCTATGCCTAGCAGAGGAAAAGTGCTTCTGTGCAGCACTTTCTTCTAATTAATTCAAATATTCATATTATTTTTGAGATTCTTTTTAGTATATTTTTTTCTCGTCTTTGACAGGAAAAAGAGTTGCAGATTTTTAAAACATTATTTTAAGGACTTCTAAGTGTTGTGTAAAATGTCTCTTTTTAAATGTAAGGATTAAGAAGCTTCTACTAGTGGAAATGGCAACAAACCCTTAGTTAAAGTATTCCAAAAATGTCTCTCATTTCTGCAGCATCAGAAACATTGTAAAAGAAGACCATGTGACACATAGAGACAGGCAGGGGAATAAGAATTATGTTATTATTCCTGTGTTATATGCCATTCATAAAAGATATATATAATATGTTTTAAAATATATTTGTGTTAGGTCCTGTCCTGTAACTGTAGTATAAATAATAGAATTGAATCAAACCCCTCTTAACATGATGAAGCACTGTAAGAAGGAAATAAGGAGTCTTCAACATTCAGGTGGTTTCCTGCATTGGTCATACAAAAAGTTTGTCCTAGAACGCAGATGAAATTTGAAAATTCGTGTACTACTGGATGCTGAGGAACCTAAGTGTGTTTTGTGTTTTATAATAGTGACTCTTTTCTTCCTGTGGAAAACAGGATACTACAATGATTGTAGTTGAAAATATGTTGCCCAAAATAATCTGTCAGGAAATGCTGGTTGCACAACTTAGTTTCTTCATTTGGCTTCAGATCCAGATTTTCTTGTGAAAGAAGCTTTTTTTCAAATAATTTTCTAAACTTGTTTGGGACTTACACATGTCATTATTTTCATTGATACACTGGAGATAACCATGAAAAATAGTGAACTGCAACTAAATTTCATCTATCTTGGTGACTAGACAAATAGTATTTATTCCCATATAAGCCACTGATTAAGTTTTTTAAATTCAACGGTCTATTGTGGTAGAAGATGACAATTAATATATTTCATTCCACTATTTTTTTTTAATATTTATGATTGATGGCAATTCTGTAGATAGACATTGTAGTTTAAGAACTGATTCAGAAATCCATTTTTTTTTTTTTCAGGATACTCTGCTCAGTACATACTGCATAGGAAAGTAGTGTTATTTGATGAAATACAAGTGTGGTAGAATGACACCTTAGAAATGGGCTTACTGCTTCCCTGTCTGTTCTGATAGTACAAATCTCAGGGTCTCAGAGGCTTCTATAAAACTTCCCTACAAAGTAACATAATAGAAATTTAAGCTCATAAATTAATAAACATATTCTTCTTTCATGCCTATATTCACAGATTAAATTTTCATCCATCTTACAGTAATTTCAGGAAAGTTAATTAGAATGCAACTCTAGAATCTTGCATTTCAAAAGCAGTTTTTTGTTATCAGAGTTTATTTAGAAACATGATTTTTTCCCTCTTTTTAGGAGTGTGGCATAATTTTGTTCTTGGTGCTGCAAGTTTCATGAGTTTGTTTCTGCTGCCAGTCATTCTTTTTCCTTTCTATTACACGGGTGTTGGAGCACTTGTCACTGAGGTTGCAGAGGTAAGAATACATCTTTATTGGTTTTATATTATATGCTTTGTGACCTGAAATACACCTGTGCCTCTTACTATCAGTCAAATCTGGTCAGTGCAGCACTCTACAGAATCTAATACTTTGCACTTTTTGGTCTGCTAAAGTTTTCTTCTCAGTCTCATGGGTTTTAGTATTAGTAAATGAAGGAACGTGACATGAATAATTACAGACTATTCAGCATTACCATAAAACTGTTTAAATGTTTGACATGAGTTTGAAGGCTTATTTCTGGGGCTTTCTCAAACTTCTTTTCAATATTAGCACAAAATAAATCTACTGGAAACTACATTATCACTCTAGTTATTGCTATCTCTTTTTACTGTTAAAAATTATTTTGAGCTGATTTCCTTGCTTGTTTGGCCAGCTGGAAGCAAAGCAGAGATAGACTACTGAGTTTCTGGAAAGGACTGATTTTTTTTCTGACTTAATCAAATACAGCACAGTTGAACAGAAGAGCTGAAAGGATTCAGTCTTTCTTGGATCTAAAAGTGAACTGATGTCACTCAGGAGGAGAGTGACACTTATTATGCTTTATACCTTCAAAAGTATTGATGCAGCCTGCTTTGCTGAAAGATTCAGGATGTTAATATAAGCTTCTTGAACTTAAAATCGTAGGAAAAGCTACAACATATTCATTTCTATGAAAATAATTGCTCAAATTTGAACAGGCTCCCCCCCAAACACCTGGAAACTTGCCCTCTTCTTTGCAATAAATAAGTTATTCTTTGAACAGGATGTCATTTTTTGAATGCTGTATCATAAGTTGAAATAATCAGTTCTAGTGGAGCCTGAGATTTTCTGTTTCTCAGAAATAGTGTCCTAAACTAAAGATTTCCTGGCTATTCAGCAGAACTGTAAACAAATTCTTGTGGTTTTAGCTACAATAACATGGATGACTTCACTGTTTCCTCTCAGGATTCTCCTGCCAATGGACCAAGAGGTCTTTTCGTGGGAGACCTTGTCACTAACCTACAAGACTGCCCAGTTTATAATGTGGAAGACTGGAATTCCTGTCTAGGAGACATTTCAGAGAAGTCACAGGTTGGCTACTGTATAAGTGCAGCCACCCTACAGCAATTAAGCTTTCCACCTAGAGGTATGACTTTAGGTGCTCTTCATTATGTAATTTTATCATGTCTTAAGGACTATATTGAATTTAGGATTTCTTGGTGGGAACAGACTTCTCCTAAGTTGAGTCTGCTATTCTGTCTTCAGCAGTGACCCATATGCCGTTTATTTTTGTGAAATCTGAAAGTGAGGAAAAGGTAGATGGGAAAATTCCTCTGATCTTCCAGGCATCTTATACAAATCTCCTGTATGATCTGAATAATGAAATTTGCCTTTTCATGATACTGCATAACTTGGTTATTAGCAGTAATACAATCATCTCCTCTAATTTTTAATTCAGTTATATGGATCAATTTAGTCATCTTTTGCAGATGTAAATTCCATACATTACCATACTCCTTTGATAAGAATGACATTACAAATTGTATGGCTTAACCTAATGATGTGTTTTATTATGGCTACTTCTTATGTGTCTCCTCACTATATGGGGTTTACATTTCATTTGCTTCTTCAGCCTCATAATGTCATTGTTCATGAACTCTATTTTGTCTGGATTGCACAATATTGCTTCTAAAAGTCAGTCTATTTCCTTCTGTTTTCATTTATAAGTTAGAGTGCTTGTTGCTGAAAAGGCTGATCTCTGAGAAACAAAAAAATAATGTGAACTGAACTAAGCTAGCACAACAAACAAAAATTAAGTAGAACAAAAAGGGACAGTCATGTTAAACTGCGTTAATGTCTTGTGACATGCCCTAAAGCTCTCTAGAGTTTGTTTCATGTAAGCATCTATGGAGACGGAATTCCAAAGTTAAAGGGCTGTGGCTGAGAAAAGTCTATGATGTTATTCAGAGTTTTAAAGTTGTCAGTGCATTTTTCCATAATACTGGAAGTAAACGGGAGATCAGGCAGTTCAACTCTCCATGGTTTTTGATATGTTATAGTTCTCTTGTGACACAGGAAAGGTTGGTTTGTTTGGGTTTGTTTACTGTATAAGGAAAGTAATCTTACAGCTGGAACTAAGATAAATATTTAAACTGGAAACCAGCAGAATATGCGTAAGATTCTACTTTTAGAGACCCAAGAGTTTGGATTTTCCCTCTGAAGAGAAGGGAAATTTTGGCAAAAGCTTTCAGCTGGGCAGGGATGGCAAGTAAGATCAAATTCTTAGATACGGTAGGTATATATGCTCAGATTCTGCTGTTCTCCAAAATCCAATTTCAGAGTCATGGATAATAAAACTGCATATTCTGCAACTGAACCAGTCCTCTTTAGAATGTAATGCTAGAGACTTAATACAAGAGACTCAATATTGCTTCCAAGCTTGGTTGCTGTATTGTGTTAGCAGCCCATTGTCCCACTGCTGCATTCTAATCAGACCAGTCCATCTGTATTTTCACAGCCGTAAGCCTCCAGCAGTGAGAAATATTCCTCTGAAATTAAATGAACTCTGTTCAGTCTCTAGCAGCTGTCATTTGTCAAAGTCTTGACAGTTCACAACTTGACATAAATACAGAATATCGATAAAAATGTATCTAGCAAATGGACCTTATCTGTTTGGCCATAAAATAAATGGAAAGTAAACTCTTTGAGTATGAAGGTAGACAGAAAACAATGCCCCAAGGACCTTCTTGAAATTAAAAATAAAAAATAAAATATGTGTTTTCAATGTAGTTTATAAGGAAACTAATTTCATGGTCATTCGCTATTCAAAACTATATGTGGTTGTTTAGCCTCAGGGTAGTTGAAGAAAGGATTGTACGGTACAGTGCTTGCACCTGTAAGCCCCAGGCATAAAGCTCCATGTGGGTGGACTGCAAGTTATGCAGCGATAAATCAGCAACCACTATCGCAGGCTTCATCTGCCTAAGGAAGGTGCCGCAGCGTTGCTGTGGCACAGGTTCTTACAGTGACTATTCTTCTGTGTTTTTTCTTTAAAAGCTGTTCTTGTAGAGTAAGTTAAGTTTAATTCACTTAAAGAACATCCATACAAAGATTCTTCACCAGACTATTTAAATCATGGTTTAAAACATCATTTATTCACTGCTGCAGCCTTCAAGGCTTGGAAAGCTTTCAGGGCTTGAATCTTGTAAAGGCTTTCACATTTTAAAGAGGATGTTTCCGTAGTCAGCCAGTGAAATCAGCACAGTAGCAGGTCAGGAATTTCTGTGCCAAAACTTGATGCAAGTTGTGGGGCAACGGATAAAAGTGTTTTGTAACTCATAATGCTCAGAACGTTGCAGTGGTAGATCCCCAGTATCTCAAGGTTATTTATTAAAAAGATCTGTATGTGACGTGATTGAAATCAGGTCACATTGTTCATTCAAGTGGTGAAGCTTAATTGTGACTGAACCACAGCGAGGCTCTGTGAATTCCTGTAATTCTTGAAGGCTACAGAACGATTGTTTTCCTTTATACAGAGACTAATTTCTGTTTAGGATGTTACTGTAATATTGATCATTTGCTCTATGTCTCTGTTCTTTAGTCTATAGAAGACTTGATGGCACAGTTGAATGTTGTAGTAACAACAGCCTCACAGACATTTGCTTTTCATATAGCAATAACTTGGATAGCCACCGGGTAAGTTACTTAAACTGCTAATTCTGTTTGGTAAATCTGAAAATATTTAAATTAATTTAGTAATATTTAGCCATATTTATGCAACATACTCAAGTGCTTTAGAATATTTAGTTTGTATCACAGGTGTGTGTGTATGTTATTCTCCCCATTTACAGCTTAAAAAAACCCCAAGGTATCAGTTATGTTTTTTCCTATGATAATCAGGGAGTCTCTGGAAGAACAAGAGAAGATCTTATACCCCTCATTCCTTCAGTCAGGAAGACACCCCCCCATTTTCACCACTGGATGAGAATATTGGTGAGAAAAAACAACTTCTGGGAACAAGATGAAATTGTTTGTTTTGGTGCTTCAGCCTTTAAAGGTACTGAGCACAACAGGCAAAGCAACACTCTGAACTATCTGTTCAGTTATTTTGTCTGAAATCAGCAATGCTACTCACTAGGTTAAACTAAAAACATGCGAGAGAAGGTCCTAGAGATTGCCCAGTTTCTCAAAATCAGGGCCTCTGTTTGATTGCTTTTTCACCTTTTCTTGCAACATCACAGAATCATAGAGTGGTTTGGGTTAGAGGGGACCTTAAATATGATCTGGTGCCAACCCTCTGCTGTGAGCAGGGACACCTTCCACTAAACCAGTTTGCTCAAAGCCCCATCCAACCTGATCTTGAACACTTCCAAGGAGGCAGCAACTACAGCTTCTCTGGGCAACTTGTTCCAGTGACTTACTACCCTCACAGAGAAGACATCGAATCATCGAATCATTTAGGTTGGAAAAGACCTTTAAGATCAAGTCCAACCAACATGTGGAAATAAAGTTTCTCAGTAGGATTTTGACTTACTCTTTTCAAAATACATAAATGTTTGTTAAAATACATGATCCATATTGATAGTGATGTAATATTTCTAGCAGTTACCTTTGCAAGAGCAAGAGCACAAGAACCAGGCGTGTAAACTTTTCTACACATACATTTGTTCTAACCTCTAGTAATAAATATCTGAAGAAATGGAAATAAGTCTGCTCCCACATCTGCTACGTTTACAGTTTCTACAATGGTAAATTTCTCACTCAAGTGTGTTTTTGTGGTATCTAACCACAAAAAATAAAGCACAGAGGAATAGCTCATTTGAAATATGACAGTGGCTGGCAACGTCCTGGAGTTCAGAAAGATTTGATAAATCTGTACCCCACTGAGCTTTGACATTCTTAAGTTCATAGCTACTACTTAGGAACAGAGAATAAATAAAAGCATCCAGAAACCTATGACCTTCAAGTGTCCTTAGACTGGCTGTGAATTTTCAAACAATTATTTTAAATAGTCTTTGCAGTGGTATGCAGCAGTATTTGAAAGTGTGCCCTCTCCCCCTCATTATAACAGAAAGAGCGTGTACTGAGGTTAATGGAGAGTGTCTGACAATCTTGCATCTATGGGGAGTGTAACTATCAAGCTAAGAAGCAAGAAAATCATTTTCTTTTTTTTTTTTCTTAAGGCAAACAGTAGATGAAGAACTTTCTTTGCTTGTGTTTAAGAACAAAATTAGTATTATCACTGAGCTTTTATGAGAGACAAGAGGGTAAAAAACAATTTCCTGTTTCTTTCTGCTGTACTGTCTTTGGCCTGTGGGAGCAAGAAGGATCTGGTCTGTCAGAATACAGAGTGACAGCGTTATAGGTAGGACTTGGGACCAAGTGCTGCATTAAGTCCTGTATTCATCTTAGTTGAGAATGGCTTCTTAGCTACCACACAGCTTGTAGGTTTGTTGGTTTGTTTGCTGACCATAAGGTTTTGTTCAGCCAAATGAAGTTTTAGATCAGTGAAGACTAAAACTTCTAAACAGCTAAGTCACTAGTCACTTGATGCAGGTTCTGTTCACTGGAAATGACTGACTTACATTCAGATTCCTCGATTTTTTTGTTGTGCATGTGTGTACCTTTTTTAAAATAATTAGATTTTCTTTTGGTACATGTGCATACCCTCTCTTTCACATTCCCCAAAAAATGGAATGACAGGTTCAATATCTACCAGGTAAGATAAATCCCCCCCCCAGTCTTTATGGACTGGTAGTATATCCGTGAGGCACTTCCTTTGCTTTAAAAAGGAACAGATAGTACCTTTTATTCTGATCTTTCAGAAAATACTATTGAATTTGATAATAATTTTAAATGCCCTTTGCAGTATGCCTGTCTGCCAGCACGAAAAGTTGTTGAGGCCAGCAAAGTTTGTCGAACTAACATGGACTGCCAGAAGGACCTTGTTGCAAGCCTTTGTGTGACTCCTTCTTTAGAGAACCAGACAAGGCTAATCAGGGTAAAACATCCACCCCATATTGACACGCTGTATGTAGGACACCCCCTGCATCTTCAGTATACAGGTTAGTATTATTTATTAAAACAGTTTCACAAAAAAGATTTCTAATATGGTTTACTTTGCCTGGCTGTTTAAACAAGGTCTTGGAGTGCTTGTCAGTTAACTTATTTAATGCAGAATCCATTTCTTGTTACAGCCAGAGGAGAGACATGGACTGCTCAGGCCTAAAATGAAATGTGCACAGTGCAATGAGTTACGAAGGTAATAGAAACCATATGTGATATGAGATGGTTGTTTTCGCAGAAAAGTATGAAAGGGCTATTTCTGTAACAAGTCTCAGTAAGGTTAGTCATGGGAACCAGGGACCTGTATATTTTCCTAATATACAAACTTCTCAAAATGCTATTGTGAAATCTCTAGGACATCTTGTTTCTAACACCTTGCCTGGAATATTAGCATGACTTTTTAAATCACACTTAATATCCAAGTATCTATGACAAATTCCCATGACTACTGAGCCACAAGTACAATCACAAAATAGGTTTTTCCTGATTTTTTTAATTTTTTTTTTTTTTGGAGTGCCATAACTTAAATTACATTTAGTAGTTTAGTTCCTTACATTGAAATGGACTATGGCTCTCCATTAGACATGTTTGTATCCTCAAACTGGGTATACAAGTCAAAAGTAAATCTGCTCTTGGAGCAAGTATGGAAAGAACGAACAAACTTAACAATATCCCTACCTAACAGCTTGAGTGGCATGGTGAAAATTAGCTTCAGATGGGCTTGAAAAAGTATGAAATTACACTACTGTCCCTTTCTGTGAGGAACCTGTCTGTTCCTCACAAACAACTGTCTTGAAGTACCTTCTTAGCAAGGCATTGTACTTTTCTAAATAAGCACCGAGTTAGGTACAGAAGGGCTTTAGCAACAAAATCTGAAAATTAGCATTCTTGCATAAACATATTTTTAGTTAATCTGTCAGTCTTTCTGTGCTGGGCATATTTTGATATTCCATGACAAATGATGTATTTCTACTTGTTTACACTATATCCTCATTTAAACCCAAAATATGATCTCTTCACTTGTTTTTTCTGATCTCTTGCCATTTAGGAAGAAAACATGGTTTGTTCTCCTGTATGATATAAACACACAATTCTACATTTGGTGACATTTATTCCAAATGCAGAAACAAATTTTAAGCTTAAAGTTTGAGAATTATTTTAAGTTCTCCTTTTTGGTCACTAAATATACAAACTGTAGGTACTCTGGAACAATTGATATTGTTCTGTTTTCCAGTATGTTGGAGCAGTGGACTTTAATCAGTGTTTCCTACTGAACAATAATTCTGCAAAACAATTGAACCTGTCAGTCTTGCCGAAGTCAGAATATCATTGCATCTAAAGAGGTAGAACTACTTTAAGAAGTTACTGTGTAAAATACAATTTACAGTGTATTTACTGGAATAAAATTCTGAAGTGGTGTAGTGTAACCTGGGAATTGCACACGGAATGTAAAAGCTAAAAGCTTGACTTTATTACAAACTTTGCTGCAAATGCAACCTATATGGAAGAACACCAGAGCTAAACTTACAGGACCCTGGCTTGGGCAGCAGGTAGGCTACCATGACAGAGTTCCATGCATTCCAAAGGAAGAACTTCTAAATATTTCAGACTTAATGTTGCAATGTATGATATTGGCTTGGGGCCAACAGGTTTGAGGGTTTTTTTTCTTTCAAATGTGACTGATCAGAATGTGGTAACCATTTCTTTACAGTTAAAAACTGAAAATAATTTCTTCCTCCATGTGTGAATTTTGAAATAGGAATATGTTTTCATGAGATACCTTATTTTTTAGTGGGGTCTTTGTGCCTGGGGAAAACATTACTTTTTAGAGTGGTGCTACATGTGGTGCACAGCCTGATCTGGGAGTTGCACTAGTGTGTACTAGAGCTCTACTTGAATAGACATTTCTAAAAAAAGTAATGTTTGAAAAACGTTCTAAGATTATACATGTATTTTCTAGTTAGGCTTGTATTGTGCCATGGTAGCCCTGATTTATGGAGAAGCAGTAATTATTTTATATTTTCACCTGAAGCTAGCTTCCAGATACAATATTCTAAAAAACTTTATATCCATATTAGCTACTTACAAGAAATAGGCTAAACAGCTTACTACAATAAAATGTTTCTGTTTCCTCAAGGTAAAATATCCTAGCCAAAACATTTTTTGTTGACATGGATACTCTATATAACTCTTGTTTTCAGTATAAAAAACCCCAAACTGTAAAGAATCTTAATCCTAAATGAACTTACTGTGCTAGAGATTTGGCCAAAACTAAAACAGAAGGAGTGATTAGGAATACGTGTTGTTTAGGATGGACACATTGATTAATCCCTTTAATTAATTCTCTCTGTAAAAGGACCTAATGTAATCCAATATAAATTCATACTGTGGGTTTAATTTCTTCAGAATTACTCAAGACTTTTAGGCTTTTATTGCAGGCCAGTGCTCTGGAGGCTCTCCCTGTGTTGGACAGATGATATGTAAGGTTGAAATGGTCATTATTGTGATGCAGCTTTGCAGAGTTTCTTTATTTTATACAGAGTTTTTGTTTTCCTTTGCATCATTTCTGGTATTGCAAAATCTTGGCTTCCTTCTCTGGCCCGTGTTGGTTGGGAAGGGTCTCAAGCCTAACATTCACATTTAGAATTCACACTGCTTGAGGGAAGATCATATGCCTGAACGTTACTGTATCTGCGTTGCCCATCAGGGATCAAAACCTGCAAGATTTCCTTTATGAAAAGAAGATGGGACTTACCTAGAAGATAATTCCCCAAACTGGGCCAGCTTCCTATTTACGTGTTATCCAAGTCTTCAGAAAAAAAGGCACTTCCTAGCTTTGAGGGGCTTTTTGGGCAACCACAGCCTTAATCCCTGACAGAGGTCTACCTGGTACAGTTTGGTTTCTCAGTATTTCCATGCTTGTTTCCCCTTATTGCTGAGGATGATCCTTCTCTGCTTTTAATCTATATTTAAAGGGTTACATGTGTAGTTCTGGAGACAGCATAGAAATACTTCGTGCCCTGCTGTCCCTCTCCTCCATAGCATACATGCCCTTTCCCCCATGAAGAGGTTTTGAAAAGCTCTTTGGTCAACCTAGACTCCAGATGGCTTCTAATGAAAATTGTATCTGTTGTGCATTCTTCTCAATGTTTGCCAACACCATCTAGCATTAGCCAACAAAAGAATTGTTAATTCCAGGTCAAAGAATTGTTTAATTAGGGTGGGAAAAAAATGCCTGTTTTCTCTCACCCAGCCTCATTGCTGTTCACCTCTTCCCAGCAGTGTCTTTTCAAGAGGAGCTTGGAGAACTTAATTTCTGTAATTCTTTTGTTATTCCTTGAAGGATGGATTTGCCTGCTGCCATTAGGTTTGATCCATACAGTCACTAAATTAATTGCCTCACATTACAGTGTCTAGAACTCAGTCCAGCAACTTCCTGAAGAGTTTCTTTGTGTTTTAGAGATGCTTCAATAGCAAGGTTTGGAGTTGATCCATGTCTAGTGGCTGTCAGAGACAACAGACAGTTTGTGCTAATGAAGAAGGAAGGAGATTAGGGATCCATTCTCAACATAGGCACAAGTTCAGGTTCAAGATGGTGAGTTGTTAGTGGCCATTAGATGTTTCTCAAGAGGCTGCCAAGCTTTGAAATTGCAGTGTATTGCAGTGTGTGTCTTTTGAAACCTTTGAATACACTGTCTGCCTCAGCCATTTTGCTATTTTGGCTCATGAACAAGAGGTCTGATCAGTTGTTCTGATACCAGCCTTCATCTTGATGAGTTGTTTTTACTTTGGATATCCCTTGACTTGGATGCCTCTGACTTTCTGAGCTGGGTGGTGTCCAGGATTTATGTCTGTTATGTTCTTCACTTGGTAGTACAACAGATTTATTTTCTCTTAGTTCCCTGGATCAAAGGTCTTTCTTAAGCTAAGAGGAGAGAGAACATGACATTCAAGCTGTTGTGGCATAGCTGGAGCAGTTTTCGTGTTGGAAAGTTCTCTGCTTGTTGCCCCACCAGACACTTTGTTTTTCTGGGACTCTTTGCTATTCAAATCTCTCCACCCCATGCTCTGCTTGCTGGTAAGACTAATTATAATTTGTGACTTATCAGAAGGTCCTCTGTTAACAGAAGAAGATGTGTTTATGTGACCATTTCTCCGCCTCGTGTCCCTTTGGAACTGCTTTCCCCTCATTTTTGTTCCAGTGTCCTTGAATTGTTTATTGAACCTGAAGAAATCTGATCTTGATCTTGACTAAAATAAATTTAACAGCACTTGCACTCCTGGTATGTTACTTACGAGTGCTCTGAGGTTCCTGGTGTTTTCTTAGCCTATGGTTTTAAAATTTCTCAAAGGGTGCATTAAATTGTTCCTTTCCCAAGGGATGTTTGCATTGAGTGGGATTTGAACTCTTGCTTTCATGTATCTCTGTAGAGATGGCATTTCCTATGGCTGTAACTTTTTCCCAGGTTGGTAGGGAAAATCCAGTTTGTTATGGCCAGCCTCAACTCGTGTCCAAAATTGTCCTTTAGGGACAGAGTGACTACTGTTGATATTGTGCAAGCCTTCTGAGCTTAAGGTGATTTTCTAATTCTGCCTTAATTTACCTAAACCTCTTTGTTCTGGTGATAAGACTCCATTATGCTATGAGTGGAGCCTTCTAGTAGGAAAGGTGGCTTTCTTCCAGCTGTCACAGAGCTCAGGCCTTCAAATGGTCCCTGAGGCTGACACTCTGAAACTGCTGCTTACTTTGAAAGACTACATCAAAACTTTTTGTGAGACAGCCCAGATGGAGCATCCCTGTAACTAACAGAGTGCACTCTGGGACATCTCAAGCTACCTCAGTTTTCTTTCAGAAGTCTCTTATATTTCACATGAAGCCAGCTGAAGCTTCATGTAAACCTTCAGATAAGTTACAGTACTAAAGAAGTGTTTCAAGGTCATATGGTGCTTGTCACTGCAATTTTCCAGTCGCTATTTATAGGAAAGATGTTTAGTCCCACCTCCCACATTTTGAAGTTGCACTAAGTTACACCCTGGAGTCATTTACAATATCATCTGGAAGACAGAAAGGAAAGAAAGAAGCTACTTATGTACTGGCTAACTGGTGTTAGGATGCGTAATGCAGTTGTGTGTCATCTCCTAGCCTGTGCTTTCTCAGAGTGACTCCAAAACTCTGCTCCCTCTCTGCCCCACTCCTGCACACCATGAACTCAGCCTCAGGTAGGGGGGATCTTTGCCAGGTATTGCAAGAGAAGAATTTTCTGGCCCTCAGAGAAAGTACATGTGTGAATGCATACATGTGGACTGCATATGTTGAAAAAGGCTGGTAACTATAATTTCTTTTTATATGCTTTTGTCTGAAAAGAACTGAAGTTGTACAACATGGTCTTTGTAAATACAGATGTCCAGTTGCTTCTGAAAATAATGTATTTTAAATCTACTTTTACTGAAATCATGCTAATTGTATTTTGTGGAGTGACTTCATTATGATAGTGACCATGTTTAAGAAAGATTTAATGGCTGCACTCTTTTAAAAACAAAACCCAAGCAAAAACGTATTTAGCTTGGCTATTCATCCTTGAATAAATGTCATTTCAGATCTGATTTTTCTGCAAAGTCGTAATCTAAAATTCACAATGTTATAATCTTGGAGTGACTGTTCACCTTTTGTGTATCTTTTTGTTTCAGTAAGTCTCAGCAGTTTTGTACCACGACAAAACTTTCTAAGCATCGATCTGCCTGTGGTGATAGAGACATTTTGCAAGTATCCTTTGAAGTATGTTTGTTCTTTTAAGGCAAGAAAGGAAGTGTTTAGAATGGGTGACTTAAAAAGAATTCAGTTGGTTATCATTTTAGGCAGGATGTTCTGAAACATTTCTGTAGAGTTTTGACATCTTTGTGCCATCCCTGCATTGATTATTCTCCATGTGGCAACTTCAGAATGAAATCTCTCACCGTCTTGAGCTTTAGTAGGATATTTTTGGTCGCTGCTTTTTTGTTTCTTGAAGGTGAATCTTAACAGCTCTGACAAGAAAGTCAAAGTAAGCCTGAATTTATGACAGGATAAATTAGAGGTTATTGCTAGCTTTGGTGTGTCAGTTCTATCATTTTTGAGTCATTATACTGGACTAATGATAATTAATTTAAAACATGGATTATTAATGAACAAGATTATACATAGGCATACATAAAGGTTAGTAGGCTTGAATATGGTTATTCTAAGAACCCTTAACCTTAAAACTGGAAATGTTTATGCATTGCTATAGGACAGTTAAACAATGTAGTTGAGTGTACTCCATAAAACTAGAGTAAAGATGTTGCATAAGCTTCCCCTTTTTGGGGAACACACCAAGACTCATGCTGAGCCAGCTACTCTCTGAGTTGTATGTCTTCTTGTCCAGCCATTACAGGATGGGGGTAAGTAGTACAGTTAGCAAGCCTTTACCAACGCTAAAAGTGATCTGCCCTTGCCTCATTTTCACGTGCAGATACACGTACAGAAATGCCCTCAACTTTTCTGGCTACCAGGTGAGTAGGAGAGAGAGCCCAGATTTCTGATTATATTCTAGCCATTTACTTACTCCAGTGAGGGAGTGTTTTGGAAAATATCCCTAATCATTATTTCATACTTAGGTCATAGGTCTAGAATACCTTCTTACTTCAGGCATAGTGTCAGAGCTGTATCCTTCTTCCAAAACCACACAAAGCAAGGGAGGAAGATGGGTAGTAGTAAGTGTGGTTTTGCTGTCTCCTGCTTTCTGAGTTGTGAAGAGTGCAAGTTGTTTAAGTATCCAAACCTAGTGCTTAAAACCAAATTAATCCATAATGGCAGTTCTCTGAGCTGGTATGTGTTATGGTGTAAAACTCATTGTACTCGTACAGTTTCTGTGAAATGGAATGACAGCTGATAAAAATAGCCCTCATATGTTTCCCTCTGCACACTATAAATAAAAAATATATGGTTTGTACTAAAAATTTTTTTCATTTTCTTGGATGTTATTCATGAGCCTTAACTAATATCAACAAGGTACCTAATTTCACTGTCAGGAGCGCTGGCAGTTATCAATGCTGTACCCTGCTTCGCATTGGATGGTCAGTGGATATTAAATTCATTCCTGGAAGCCACTCTGAGCTCCCTGATTGTGGAAAAACAAGACAGAGAGCTTGTTGGCTTTTTAATTTTGCTTGCTGGTAGTGCACTTTTGGCTGCCAATGTTGCACTGGGACTTTGGATGGTGACAGCACGATAGAACATTGGATATGCTTCCATCAGTTCTCAAAGTACACAGAAGTAATGAATCCATTGCCTTTTAAAACTTGTTTAGTACTGTTATTGAAATAATCCCCTTAAAGTGACACTGAAAGAACAATCACTGATGACTGCTGTTCAATTTAAAACTGTACATGGGAAATAAAATAGAAAGAAGTAGGAATCTTTTTATATACCCTTTAAGCACTGTACTAATTTCTCCAAAATTTCATTGTAAAGTTTGATGGGAAAAAGCCCAAGACTTCATTAATTTAGATCTTAAAATAAGGAAAGTATTTGGCCTCAAGCATTTGTAAGGTGGGAGGAAAAACATATTACATTTTTTTAAAAATTATTTTAATAGGTGTCAGAAAATCTGTGTGGGCTCTGATCATTTTTCAGTCAGCATAGTCTTGAGTGTCTAGTTTTGTTTTTTTAATCTGGTATTCTACCAAACTGGACTCTTAAGAAGACCTAAAGTCAAATGGTGAAAAGCTAACTAAATGTTAATGAGGAGAGAAAGGCCATATGGGTTAGTATCTTTCCTTTTCAGCTGGCCAAAATGACTGGAAGCATGTTGTCCTCAGGATGGAGATGAGAAGTGCCAATGCCTGTTAAGAATGAGGCATGCGGGAGGATAAAAGCACCCACACGTCTGCATTTCTTACACATTCAGTTGTATATTACCATACACAACTGAAGATTTCTTAAAGGCAATATTTGCCAGCAATAGCTGAAAGATAAGTGAAATTTATTTTCCGAGTGCTGTGCATTGTGTATGCTGTGCACAATTATTCATAAGTGATAAATAATATTTGTGTTGTTTTACTCAGCAAATAATATTGTATTATACCTGTTCACAGTTAAAAGTGAAATCTGTTGTTTTTATGGTGTCTATCTTGTGATGCTATGCATGTAATGTGGGAAGTAACCCATTGATGGTTTTCTCTGTCTTTCAGAAGGTTATTTTCCTTTGCTAGGATTCATTCTGTTAAATGATAGCTAGCAAAGATGTTTAGCTGAAGCTAGTCTTGGATCAGAATTGTTTAGAAGAAGAATGTGATTGTGAATTGAACTACTTAAACATTTGGCTTTGCTTTCTGAAATGAAAACAGACCACATCCTCGTTCTTAAACGAACAGTGGAAGAACAGCCAGTGTTTTGCTGACTGCAGTATGTCTCACATACTTTGAAGCTCTTTAAGTGTGTAATATTTTGTATCCGATGGGATTATATACTGAGTGTCTGTCATGTCCTCCTGTGATTTATTGCCTAGTTTGTATAGATCAGGTTCAATCAGAACCTTGCCGCAATATAGGCTGATTTATTTTTTTTTTTAAAAAAAAAAAAGCAGCTCTAGTTTGGGAGCCTAAATATTTGAAATAGGAAAATGTTGAAAAATACACCGCAGCTTCTGACTCATACAGTGCTCCTCATAGGAGCTGCTGCAGCTCAGAGTTCCTTCACAGAAATGGCCTTTCCATCAGGAACTAAAGTGGCTCATGGGCAGTGGCCTGCAGGGACTACTGAGGCATTGATGACCAACAAATATAGATTCTCTTGGCACTAGAAGTAAAAGCCTGGGTGATTTTAAAAGTGGTGTTGAGACCAGTTCCTGGTGCTGCTGCATTGATTTGTAACTGATGTTTGCATTTGCCTACTGATGTGTTACTGTATTTTTGCACAGCAGTCCCCACTGTTATTTAAGATTTCTTAAGATGATGCAAGCAGTAAGGAGAGAGCATGTTTGTTTACCTGTTGTGTTAGTTTACTTTCCTCTCCAGTGCAGTAGCAGGCTGGGTGGGCCTCTTGAAGTTCACCTCCGTGAGGTAACAGGCCTATGCTTTTCATTTTCAATCATTTCAACCAGGTATGTCGGCACAGATCCCGTGTAAGAGAGAGTAAATCCTTCAGTCAGTCCAGCATGAATCGGTCCCTTTGGGGACTGTTAGAAGTCACACAAAATACAAGAAAGGGAAAACAAACTATGAGAAACTGCCAGCGGGCTTCTCTTTCTTCGGGAGATACCGTGAAAGTCTGGCTCATCATCCCTGCTGGAAACGCAGGGGTTTCAGGGGAGCAGTTCTGATGGGCCACTCTGCCATCTCGCTGTGGACAGGAGGAGCTGGAGAAGCCGGCTCACTCGCTTACGTATCTGCTTACTGATCTGAGTTCTTCCATCCAGTGGCGCTGGGCCACTTTCCTCTGTGTCTTTGTCCAATCTACACTGCACAAAATTAATTTGTACTTAGGAATTTTAACGTAGTTTAGTAAGACAGGCTATATAGTTTGAAAAACAGCTACTATTTGTGTGTCAGAGATGCAGTGCTGTCTTCCTGTCTAAAGCAACAACAAATGCCTCTATGGTGATTTCAGAAATATTTTGTGAAAAACATTTCAAGTTTGATACTTTTATATATTCATGTTGACTGCAACTTCTTGGGACATAGTACCCCTCCTGGAGATGTAGGCAAGAGATTTAAAAAGACAAAGTTTCTGAATTAACATACACAAGTTACATCTGCTATAACGAGGCTGGCGGGTTGTTCCTGGTTATTTAATGTGCGATTATTGGGAAATGTTATATGTAGCTTTTTACTTCAAAATTGCCAGAAGAATTCCATAGTTATAATCAGTCATTGTTCTGATTTGGTTTTTATGGTAATTTTTATTTATATCAACAAAGACTTCCATAGTGTGCTGTGATGATGCATGATATGACATGAAAATGGCTTTCCTCTTCTGAGCATGTGCAATGTTACATGCTCCTTGGTAGCTTGGATAATTAAAGCCACTGTAGCTCCATACGATAGAGACCACCAGGAAAAGTATAGACAAACTTGGAGATTAGTCCTCTCAAATCTATTAATCAGAGTGGCCAAATCTGTTAACTCATCCTTTTTATTTCGAATGAAACAACTAACTGTACTGACAGTTATTTTTTTTAGTGATGGTGATTCTGCATTTGTGTGTATGTTTGTATACATGCATACATGTAGTATAATAGATATATACACAGCCACAATCTGTGTTGCTGCATTTTTAGGGATGACTTAGGGCAGCCCTCCATATGCTGTGACATAGGCTCTTTTTCTTTCTATGAATTCCATGGCTTTCTCTGGATTTAAAAATTGCAGCTATGTTTTTCTCCCATAACTGATATAAAATCGTTTAACAGAAGACAAGTGATGGGACATAATGTAACCACAGCTGCATGAATTTTGTTCAGCTGATGTTTAAAATACATTTCTCTCCTTCTATGAGGGCTCAGCTACAAGCATGATAAACAGATTTTTTTTCAGGGCTAATAAAAGAGGTCAGCCTTAGAATCCTTCACTCTTTAAATGCTGCTATTTATGCTGTTTGGAATGATAACTGGGATGAGTGAGACTGTCTAGAGTATACTGAAGAAATGGTGTTTTCAGGACCAACCTCCCCATGGCAGTCAGGGTGTTTCAGCTTTCTTGAAATAAAGACATATTTTTATTCAGTTTAGAACATCAACAGTCCAAGTTTTTCCAATAGTTTCCTATACATTTTACATCATGGCAAATGGTGACCTGTAGCATGCATTTTTTAAAAATAAATTCTGTATGTCTTCTGTCTGAAAGAAATGAATTTGTGTCTGGATATAATTTATGACAGATGAGTATGGGCTATAAAGGTTGACATAGCCTAGTCTGTATTTAATTATTGTAAAAAGATGTGAGTTAAACTCCAGAAATAAATAGTTATTTGTAAAATACGCACTCTGTACACCTGCACTGAGACCATGTCCCACAACCAGTCTTGCCTCAGTGTTGTTCTCATAACCTTGTGAGTAAGGAAGCTGAATCTAGCTCAGGTAAGATGCAATATTATTTTATACGTTTTTTATCCTGATTTTCATGTAACGCTATATATAGATTAGTTATTTATGTGGATGAGTTAGCAGGTGTACCTATCCCTTATTAATGCAGCATTTGGGAAGCATTGTGCTAGGGACTACCAGAAGACTGCAGCCTTGTGACTCTTTCTTATTCCTTGGACTCATCCACTACGATCATGTGAAAAGCAGATGGCAGCAGCTAAGTGCAGTGAAGAACCTCACTTTATGGCAGCTCTATGAAACCTTCACACTGCTGACCCAGTGTGAAAGGATGGGAACAAAGAGCAGGATATGACACTGCAATTCCATTCATTCCATTTACATTGACATGAAACGTGAAGAGAATTTGTAATTAACATTTCAGAGCATGCAGATACATTTTCCAGCCCTTCACTGAATCATTCAGTGACTGGTGATCGATTTTTTTTTAAAAAAAAAAAAAAAAAAGAAACACTTTGTTGTTCCTTTGATAAATATATGCTGAATAAGTGGTATGGGTAGTTGTAGTTTATTTACTAAAATGAACTTGGGTATTTTTATAGATGTTCATCTTGGCTTTTCTTTGCAGCATCATGGTGTAATTATCCTTCTCTTGATACCAGTTTGAAAGTTTGGAGGCTATTTCCAGACCATCACTAGAGAAATCTAGTTTCTTCCTTCACAGATTTTTTTGTTAATATTTTAAATTCCTCACTTCCTTACTTAACTTTGCTTTTAGATTTCATATGCTCAGATGATCTTATCTGAAGCCTATCAATGGAATATGTATTGTTTTGAAAATCATTGTGGTTTTTTTTTCCTCTACATAGCCTTATTTTTCACACTGACTCACAGCTGTGGAATGTTAGATTTCTACACCCTTTGTTCCCACTATGCATTGTTCATGATCATGTTTTTAAAAAAGAAAAAAAAAGAGAAAAAAAGAAAGCTTCATTTTGAAAATGTCAGCTAGCAAATATATGGAACACTTTGAATAATGTATTGTGGTTTTGTTTTGCCCTTTTTCTCTATTTAATCAACCAAACAATAAGTATTGTTTTCTATGTATGATAAATGTGTCCTGCAAATAAATTCATTGTTTGATTGGTAATGTGCTGAAATCTGTTTTTAAAAATAAGGTAAAGGTGACATAA